CCTAGCTCATCAATTTCACTTATTGACGCTAGTATTCTTTGATCAACCACTTTTGGCTCTTAGTGAGTATTGTCGACCAACTGCTAGCCCGTCAACTTCACTCTTCGACGCTAGTATTCTTTGATTAGCCACTTCTGGCTCGCAGTGAGTATTCTTTGACAAGCCTCTCTAGGCATTTCATATGATAACTAAACAGGTTTGGTTTGAGTGTTTGGGTTACTCTCATAGAGAGGATACATATGTTTGTACACTCATTAAGGTATACAACCTTAGTTTTTACAACGATTGAGTGTTTGGTTTACTCTCACAAAGAGGATAAAAAAATGAATACACTCACTACGGTTTATGTTCCTAAGTTACACTTAGAACTCCTTAGTCTACAGAAATGAATACACTATGGTAGATTTGACGGTATACGCTCTTTCTCTAGTTTCGTTGTTCGTGGGCTGGATATCACTTTTTGTTAGAATGCAAAAGTCAACCATTTTAGGTTTGAGGTAGTGATATATATATGTTGTCCTATAGAATTTTCTCGTTGCAAGTGTCCGTTGAAGCTTATATAGTTGTTCATGACTAGTTTGATCTTTTATTTAATGCTCAAGATCTTGCATTAAATGTTTCTTCCTGTTTATAGACATTGCGTGAAGTCTTCTTTTCCTTGTTAGCAGCTGTGTCTGAATTTAGCAGAGACCTAAGAACCTTTTTGTCCTTTTCCGGTCGCATAGTTGTAGAGTGTTGTCCTTATCTGAAAAAATGATGTACTTTTTCTGACACATGCATGCTTTTGCTTTTGCATGCTTTTCTTCTTCTTCTTTCATCATGCTATCATGTTGAGAGCATTTAATTGATCGTAGACGATGCCTTAATTTGTCCTTTGAGACTTGATTCTTTAAGTGCTTGCATGACAATCTTCGTCAGCGTCTGTTAGTCCTATGCGTCTCAATCTGTGATTTTCGTCTAAGCATTTGAGTTTAATGCTTTGACTTTCTTTTGATCTGGTCAATATTACAGATGGACAAACTTTGTTTTTGTCTGAAATATCTTTCAGTCTGTGCTGTCCTTTGTCTTGTGCGTAGTTGACTTTCTTCTGATCTTTGATTCATGCTTCGTCTAATTTCTTATGTTGCACTGGAGGTTTTCCTTGACACACCTTCATCTAATATTAGACTTATAATCGTCTGGCGCACATATTATACTTTGTCTATTCAGTTGACTTGATTTGTCTGATTCTAATGGTGTGCCTTGCCTTGACTGTTCTTTTATCTAAGTTGACCATCTAGTTTCATCTAATGTTTAACCCATCTTTGTCTTGTTCCAGATTTAGCCCTGTTTTGGATTTTCATATGATACTTCCAGGTTTCGACTTGTAGTAGGCCTCGTCTAGTGTTTGTTGAATGTTCTTCTATTTTTTTTATCAAATCTAATCTTGATGCTTAACCAACCATCATCTGATTTTCTGGTTTAGCTTGTCCAAGCTTTGTAGATCTTGTATTTAATGCATTTGATCTTGCATTAAATGTTTGCTCGCCGAATCTGTGTTACGTTAAGTCTTTTGTACCGTTTATTTACTTCTATGTCTGACTTCAATCATAACCTAGGCATATTTGTACTCTCCTGGCATTGTAGCTGCAAAGACGTTGTCTTTTACTGAAAGGTAGGTGTACTTTCTTTAACATATGCAATTTTAACTTGTGGATAAGCGCTAGTCCATTTTTCTCTTCTCTTTTCTTCTATTTTTGATGACTTCATGTGTTCTTCTGAGAGTGTGGATGATAAGCAGTACTTCTCGTTGTGACTTAGTAGACTTTAGACGCAATTCAACATTCTTCATTTTTGTCTAGAAATTTGAGTCTCCGTTTAAGAGATAGACTTTTACTTTTTCTTTCGTCTAGTCAGTTGTGTAGACTTTTAACTTTGTTTAGGATGTTTTGACTTAGATTATCCATCGTCTGTAGTCTTGTATCATCTAAGGCTTCATTATTTTCCTTCTTGTGTTGGGCTTGACTTCATTTGATCTCTTCATCTTATGTCTTGTAACTTTTACCCTTTATCTTGGTTGCTCGTGCTCTATTCTTTATTTTCCATTATGTTTGTGTTGGGAAGGAAGGATTGAGTTTGTTGTGTTGCAAGGTTTGTAGTTTGTGGGTAACTTTGTCTAGTGTATATCCTTCTTTTGATCAGATACGGTGCTTAGCTCACTTTTGTCTTGGTTCTGGTGTAGAAGGTGGTACATGCTTATACTCTAGTCTTCAACTTGCCTGTACTTATGTTTTTCTGAAACACTAACGCACTCGTTAGAGATAACAATATGCATTATATTTGTCTCATTCAAAACTTTACTAGGAATTGCTTCATCTGACTTAACATATATATATTCTCTCTATTGTAACGAAAAAAATGTAGTAGGATAAGTACGAGAGTAGAGCAGAAACTTATACACTTACAATCAGTCCCAATTTTCCAAGTCGAGAAAACCTGTACATGAACATATACTCGATCAAAGTGGTTTCCCTTATCAAAATCGAATTAAGGTCAAACAGGTACTCATGAGTACATGTTTAGTTGTGATATCTACACAAAAAAGACAACTTTTATTAATACCTTTATTAATAATATAGATAATCCACAATTATTTCTTTATTATAACTTGACTATACATTATTTAAAACATGTTATTTAAGTTTTGATATCAGACATGGTTAGATCTCATAATGCAATAATAGTAAGATAAAATAAAAGAATAAAAAAAAAACACTTCATTATTAAACCTTTTCTTCTAGTATTGAAATTCATCCACAATCTTCTAAAAATAATGTGAACTAAATATTAATTAAATTTTGCCTAAGTGCAAATCTGATTTAGGTACTAATATATTGTGTGAATTTATAGTATTATATAACAATATTGTTGGTTGAATAGAAAGATCTATAATAAAACTAAACTTTTAAACTTTGATAAAGTGCACATTACTTTATTAGTTATTTACATGCATGAATAATATTCAAATAACAAACTAGACAGTTTTTCTATAATAAGAGAGAATATGTTAATTATAAAATGAAAACTTAAAATTGTATTAGAAATAATAATTTAGCAGTTAGCACCAACTAGACGATACAATAAATAGAAGAAAAAAATATTATCGTTGACTCTTGATAAATATATTACAAATCAATGTTAAAAATGTCGCAAACAATACATATTTAAAGGTTTAAAGGACAACCTATACTAAAAATAAGTGAGGTCAAACTATAATTCTATGGTTACAAAATTAATTATCAACCTTCTTTAAAAGTTTAGCATAATAATATACAATCTTTTATTTGGCTATTATGATTGATATCATATGAGTTAAATAAGTATTTTTATAGAAATTTTATAATATTGTACATACCAAGTATTTTATAAATATTAAAGGTTTTAAGGACAATCTATATTGAAAATAAATTGATTCAAACTTTAACTCTATAACTATAAAATCAATTATCAATTTTATTGAATAATTATCAATAATGCAATGAAATGAAATTTTATGGAGACTATATGTAAATAAAATAAATTTATGAAACTTAAATACTTTTTATTGACAATATAGTGCAAAATAAATAATTTTTTTATCATTTATTATTTCAATTTGAAAAATTATTTAAATTTAATATTTTTTAATTATAAATATAATGTCTCTTTAATTAATAACTAAATTATATAACAAAATATATGTTTTATGCATGTCACAAATTAAAATTTAATTATAATAAAATTAATAAAATTTATTTTATTTACAATACAGTTATAAAATGATTGAATTATTTTTATCATTTCACAATATATATTTACAAATATAGGTAATAAAAAATATGTGAGATTATAATTAAATATATTTTATATGTTCAAATGTCTAATTCTCTTTGTAATTTTAGAGAAATTTGACAACTAATTATGTTGATTAAGGTATAAAATTTTAGTTTTATAAATATGTGTATTTTGAATACGCGTGAAAATGGAAGTGAGGCGTGCATTCACATGAGTGTCTTACTTTCCAAAATCTAAAACTTATACTTAATTACTAAATTTAATAATCAATTGAATTTATATTTATACATCATTAATTTTCTTATAAACTAGCATTTCAATTTTCATATTTGACTTTCATTGCACTTCATATCTCAAATTTCAATATATTTATTGTAAGTCATTGAAAATTTGGTTGTATAGTATGACTCCTAAGCTTTTAAATTGTTTGTTGTTATCTTTAGTTGTGTATTATTTATTACGTGTATAATCACAATTTAATAAACTTAAATATACTACTTATTTGTGATATAATTTTACATAAATGATTTATCTTATCTATATTATGAATTTGTTGCTAAAATGTGCATGTTTTTTTTTTAAAAAAAATAAGTATTTGATTGGAAGTACAATTATTATGTATAATTATTTTATTTTTCTTATTGTTATATATATATATATAAATAAATAAATAAAGAGAGAGAGAGTTTAGTCTTCAAAATATTTAATTCAAGAATACAATATTATAAATGTTAACATGATTTTAATTATTTTATAGACAAATTTTTACAACTCATTTACTTAATTACATAAAATATGATGTTTTCATATTGTATAATATTATGTATTCTTTAATTAAATATTTTGACGATAAGTAGAATTACTATTTTTTTGTAACATTATAATTTTTATCCATAATATATATATAAATAAATAAAGAAGTTAAATTTGTAATTAGTGGGTTCTAAATTTTTATAATTAAAGGGATTTTATTTTGATGTGAGATTCAACCTTTTTTTTTTTTCTCGTCTTCTTTTGTCTCCAAACAAATAATATAAAATTCCTTTTACTCATCCCTTCACTCTTCTCAATTTTTTTTTTCTCTTCTTCACTTCTATTTAAACAAACAAAGTTAATTAAAAAAAAAAAGTAATCAAGCCTTGTATTATGTCCAATGGAAAGGACGAAATGGGTCGGGTTGTTCCAACCCACACCCGAAAATAATGAGAATATAATCACCAAATGAGAGGTTGCTTTTGCTCTTTCTTGCTTAATTGGGAACTCGGGATCCAGCTGAAAAGAGAAGAAGCGAAGCTAGAGAGAGAGGGAGGGAGGGAAGATGAGAGCATACGGTGGAGGAAAGAGGAGGCGAGTGGCAGTGCAACCATTTCTCGTTTTGTGTGCATTGGTGACTGGTTTGGGGCTCTTGATGCTCGCGCTCAGGCCCTTGGATGCAACCACTCCTGGCCCTCTCGAGAGAGCTTCCCAGGACTTTAACACTTCCATCATCAATGGCTCCAGTGCGGAAGCCGTGGCCTCTCGGCGCGTCAAACTGAAGGCCTGCGCCACTGTGGAAGAAATGGGGAAGGATTTCAGAAGAGGTGTTGCCAAGGAGTCCCTCAGAGTCAGAACCGTTATCCATAACCATTTTCTTAACAATGGTACGTTTCCTTTGCTCTCTTCCTACCTTTGCCTTCTGCTAACAATAATGAGTTTTTTTTATTTTTTTATTCTTATTTTTATTTATTTATTAAAATACTATTTTTGTCTTGGTAATATTATTTCACTATTAGTTTTTATAGAATAAAATAGATTTATTTTAGTCTGCTCTCATGTTTTTTTGGTACAGATACTCATGATTTTAGTTTCTATAGTTTCTAATAGAGTTTTTAGTTTTTATAACAGTAGTTTTTCTTAATTATTTTAGTCTCTGTGGTTAATTAATTTGCCACTTTTGTGTTGATGTGTCATAGTTCAACATTGTGTTTATTGTATGAAATTTATTTTGTTAGACTTGCATTAAATTAATTCCTTTAATGTTTCATGTTTTTTTTACTCTCATTTATGGATACATTTATTTTTATTATTACAAAATTAAAAACAAGAGATGTTATAAAAAAAAAATTAAAGATTGAGACTAAAAAAGATTAAAAAAAAAGAGGTAAGTATATAAACTAAAAAGATATATCTTAAACTGTAGGGAACCCAAAATGTTTATTTTAAATTACAAGAACTAAGAGATAAAGTAAATAAAATTATAGAGGTTAGAAAGATATTTAATTTTTTTTCTTCAAAATTTAAAATGATAAAATTGGTCTTTGTATCTTTATATTTATTTATTTATTTATATTTTATAATTTTATCCCTCCATGTATTTTAAGTTTCATTTGGAGGTACGAGAGTCACTAATTATAAAAGAAGGAGGACTAACAGTCATATTCAGTATTTTAATTATAGACTTAAATATATTTTTAGTATTTTAAATTTAAAGTAAATTTATTTTTAGTTTCTCAAATTTAAAATCAATTTTTTTATTCTGTAATTTCAAAAAGTTTTGTTTTAATTTTCATATTTAACTTTTTTTAGGGAATCTGTCAACTATTGTCAAACAAAATTTACCTACTAGTTTCTTTGATAGTAAAAACATAACATTAAACCAAATTAACATTACATAATTGTCTCAATTTGTCACTTTTAGATGTGTTATTAGTGATTAAAGAGACTAAAATATTATTTTTAAAAATTACAAAACTGAAAGAGCAATTTTAAATTTAAGAAAATAAGAATATATTTGTCTTAACTATATCATCAATATTAGTGGATGTGCTATTTCCAACACTTACTATGAAGTCCATAATCAACAGATTATGTTTGTTTCAAAGAGGGGAGTAGGGACAAAGTATTAAAAATCTTGATTAGACGAGGAGGGGGAGAGGGGAGATAAAAGATTTTAATGGTGGAAAGAGGAAGAAAGATTTTAAACATCAATTTATATGTTTTACCTTAATAATTTTAAATTTAAAAATATAAATAAAAATATTTCTGGACATTTTATTGAAAAGGATTTAATATCTCTTCCTTCAAATCTCCTAATATTAAGTGGGACTAAAATTAGATAGAGATTTTGTTCCTCTCTATTCTCTTTCTAAAAATTGAACCAAACAAAAAAGTTTATAAAAATCTTTTCCCTCTCTTCCATTTCCTTTCAATCAAACACAAACATTATGTAAATACGGGAGAATTGTGCTGCCAACAATGATATTTGTTGTAAGAACAGGATTGTGGTCTTTTAAGGAAAAAAACTAAGTTTTTAAAGTTAATTTTGATAAAAATATAAGAATCTAAAAGATATATTATTCTACTTAATTTTCTATTCTATGTACAGGTGGTGTAAAAATTAAAAAAAAATGTTTTTTTTTGGGCATACTAGCCGCACAGTCAGGTATAATACTAAGATTTCATGCAAACTACCCGCTTGGAGTAGGCTCACTCCGGTGGGTTTTGAAAAAGAAATTATTACATTATAATTACAAAAGATATTTTTTGCTTTAAGAGTTTAATAGATGTGCATGGTGTAATTTTTTTACATCATTAACTAGTTAGAAAATTCACCCAAAACAAAAACTAGTTAGAAATCAGTTTTGAGGTAACTTTTAGAGTGGTTATTATTAGAGTTAACATAGTTATTATATACAGTGGTTTGTCATTGAGGGTATAAAATACTGTTTTTTCCTCTTACTTTAAAATCTTTCTAGTATATTTTAGCCCCCGACAATATACCAAAAAAAATATACCGTTAATATACCAAAAAAATATTTTAGCCCCCGATATATGTAATGTAACTGGTGCATAGGATTAAAGAGTTGTTACATTTATTTGGTTTTGATATTAGGTGTCAAATTTATGCAAGGGTATGCTTGATTCTCTTTAACTAAAGCCTCACGCGAGCCTTTGGTCTCTGACAGATATTCCGCCCCTATGCTATTTTTTTTTCAGTATAAATACCTGTGATCTAAAAAAAAATGGTGTATGAGAATGCTTGCAATGCAATGCAACTAGTTTTTTTTTTTTTTTTTTCATGAATTTTGTTATGTGCTACTTCCATATAAATATAGGAAGTTATTTTAAGAGATGTTATTTTGTTCGGAGCATTGACAAATGGAGATCGAGCAACAATACTATTTGGAGACAATTTTTCGTCGGTTAATAGTCTTAAGTTCTGTGCATGTTTGTACTTTTTAGTATGCTATTTTTACTTATATACGTTTATTTTACACTCAAGATTATTTCTGTATTCTGACAGCAAGTTTTAATCTTCTGAAAACATGTAGTAAATATCTAAAGTCGTAGCTATGCTCCTCTGAGTGTAATTAGTTAGATGAAACTCTATAATATAAATGCACTCCCTATGCTTCTGTGGAGAATGGTGTTAGATTAGAACATGACTTTGATTTGTTTCAGGTGCTTCAAGAGTCAGGGATTTGCCCCCAGATCAGTTCTGTAGACATGGCTTTGTTCTCGGGAAGACAGCCGAGGCAGGTTTTGGTAACGAAATGTACAAGGTCTTAACTGCCGCAGCACTTAGTGTGATGCTAAACCGGTCCTTGATCATTGGTCAAACCAGGCACATTGGTTCTTTCGCAAGCCTTTCTTACATCTTTTCAATTTTAAGAACTTGTACATTCTTTCTGTCAGCTGAAATGCTCATATGAATGTCTGTGGTAGCTTTAAAGCATAACCTATGCCATATCTTTTTTGCACTATGCTGTTGTGAGTCTTCCATTGGGTAGAATAGAAAACCTAATATGGTACTTAAGTCACGAGATTCTCATTTGATAGACTAGTTTTTTTTTGGTTAGATTGTTTTCGTGTACTTACATCATAGCATATTCAATATACCAACCTGTTGGGATACAAACAAGTCCCACATCGATAAAATAAGACAAAAAATAACAACTTATATAATACAAACATATTTCAATGATTGAGAGGCCTTTTAGATAATGACCAAAAGCAAAACCGTGAGGGCTTAGGCTTAAAGCGGACAATATCTCATCATTGTGGAGTATGTTTGTGTAATAATCTTATAAAAATAATATTCATAAAATATCTCCCTCAGACAAACACCATTAAAATAACCCCAACAGTGGTATCAGAGCCACAGGTTGGATTTGGTGACAACCAATAACCTCTCATAACTCATAACATTTGGGATACAAACAAGTGGAAGCGGATATTACTCATAACATTTGGGATACAAACAAGTCTCACATCGATAAGCTTTTTGGGTAATGACCAAAAGCAAAACCGTGAGGGCTTAGGCTTAAAGCGAACAATATCTCATCATTGTGGAATATGTTTGTGTAATAACCTTATAAAAATAATCATCCTCATAAAAATAACCCCTCTGACAAATACCATAACATAACCCCGTTACAACCTATTTTCAAGCACTTTTGGAGGTAACTTGATTGTTTAAGGCCTCTGATATATGAAAACTAATGTTGTTATGCCATTTATGTATTTGTGAAACTGCCCTGCTCTTGCAAAAGATAGCATATTTGAACCAACTACAGATCATTGGACTGAACAGTGAACCAGTAACTGGTGTGTTGGTTGGCTGAACAAGATAACATGAAAATCATCTATAGAAGTATTCCACACGCAACAACATGAAAGATGTGAAGACTTTTTTAAATGAGAAAATATAATGAGCTTTATCTATGAAAAAAAATTTCGGGTCACGTTAAGTGGTATTTAAAAGTGGTCTGAATATAAATTTGATTATCAGACAGAATCACAACTGACTAGACCGCAGTATTGTAATAAAACATGGTCCTGTCTTTCATTATCTGATTAATACCTTGTTGCTACATTTCAGAGGAAAATATCCTTTTGGAGACTACATTTCTTACTCCAACTTTACTTTTACGATGAAAGAAATCAAGCATTTGTGGAGAAACAAAGGTTGTGAAAGCAAATATGGGAGGAAACTGGTTATGAGAATTGATGATTTTGAGAAACCAACAGAAACAAATGTTCTTTGTAGCAATTGGAAGAAATGGAAGCAACCTATCATATGGTAAGATGAGAATAGTTTTGTTTATTATTAGTCTCACATCACAAGCATCATAAAATGAGCATAAACTTTATGTTTTAGGTTTCAAGGAACTACTGATTCTGTGGCAGCACAATTTTTCTTAAAGAATATACACTCCCAGATGAGGATTGCTGCTCTTGCTTTATTTGGTGACCCGCAAGTTCTAGGTTTACGACCCAATGTTTTTGGGGAGCTCATGAGGGTCCTCATATCCCCTTCAGAAGATGTTAAGGCAGCTGTCAATTGGGTTATTGGTGCTGGGGAGAATCCTGACATCTCATTGCATATGCGGATGCTTATGAATAGGTAATGCCTGTATGTGTTACTTAGGCGGATACAAGTTATAATTACTTCTAAAAGTTTTTCTATTAAAAAAAACACACTTTATTTTTAGCAGAAAAGCTCTCAAAAACACTTCTAAGTTTGTATCTAAAGAGACTCTTACTTTTATTGAGTGGAAACCATCAAGCTTGATTGATGAATTAGTTGAAGAGAATTCTGATCTTAAAATCTTAAAATAGTTTAACTTCTTACGAAAGAAGTAAGTATAACACTCAGAGGTATAACATTCTTTGCCTCAGAGAGTTCTGTCTGAATATATTAATTCATCATTCTTATAACATATGGTTTTATTGAATAATTCTATTTTTGGCATTTCATTTTTCAGGTCTGCAAGAGCTGTGCAAGCAGTGTTGCGTTGCCTGAGAAAAGCCATGCAGAGTCAACACCTACTGTCATCGAGACCAAAGGTGGTTCTGGTGTCAGATACACCTGCTGTTGTTAAAAGTATCAAATCTAACATAAGTGAATTTGCAGAGGTAGTTTTTCAGATTTTGGTAGCTAAACTGCATGCAAATGCACGTATTAATGTCTAGATGAAAACATATACCATGTTAATGCCGAAAATTTCTTATCACTTATTAGTTGTTAACAATGAAATTGTTATCTGATATTAAGAATTAATAACATGCTATTTTCAATATTGCCATTCTTCTGTGTTAAATGCTTGATTTCCTCATTATCTAATGATTTTAATCTGTTGTTTACGTGAAGTATGATGCAACTAACCTATAAATGCTGCAAAATTTGTGGGCCTTTGAATCTTATCCATATCTACTTCCCCCCAGGTTCTTCATTTTGATTATGAAAAATTCAAAGGAAGTATGTTTAAAGGATTTCGCAGTTCAGATTTTAGAAGGAAGGATTGGGGTACCGCGCCTAGATGGGTTGCTTTTGTAGATTTTTTTCTCGCTTCTCGTGCAAAACATGCCGCAGTTTCTGGAGCTCACCGTCGTGTCGGGACTACATATGCTCAATTAATTGCTGCACTGGCAGCAGCCTATAATCTGGGTATATTTACTAATTAGAAATGTTATCCACATTCTCTCTAACATTAACACTATCTTATTAATACTTTTCTTTTATATTGGTTTAAAAATTATAAAAATCTTGTGAGTTCTACTACTAAATCAGAAGATATGATTTGTTTGAATAAATTTCTCGTAAAACACTTCTAAAAGAAAAAACATATAAAAGAAAAATAAAATATTTTTTTTTCATAAATTAGTTTATTTATAAGGTAATTTGTAATTTTTTTTTGGAGAAGTTATATGTGAGAACTTTTCCAAATTAGCTTATATATAAACTAATTTTAGTTTATGGAGAAACTTATTTCATTTTTTTTTATTTTTCCTCCAACAGTTGTAGAAAAAATTTATCCAAACAAATTCATTAAATGAGATATGAACCTAAAAAATTGTGATTTTCAATTAATTTCACCCAATATTAAAGTGTTAAAAAGAGTGTTGCTAGCATTCTTTTTCACCTTATCGGATTGCATTCCTCTGCTTACTGTATTCTTGAAACATATGAAAACTATTTACTTCAGGGGACAAGTCTGGTTCAAGGTTTATGTTCCTTAGCAGTTTCCAGAGCAATTTGTTGAGTGATGGCTTAAAGAATCAGATTGGTTGGGGCCATGTGTGGAACAGATATGCTGGTCCATTGAGTTGTCACAACCAGGCCAACCAATGTGCCTTCACACCACTTCTTCCTTCTGCATGGTGGGATGGTCTTTGGCAGTCTCCAATTCCAAGGGATATTAACCGTCTTGCTTCCTATGGCATCCGGCTATCTGGTCTTGGCACTGTTGATAACGATTCCCTTAATAGCCACTGTAAGAAAAGGAAAAATGTTGTTCGAACAATTACATTCAAATTGTAGTGTTTGGAAATCACATTTCTTATTCTTAGTTATATAACCATAATCATAAGTAGGGTTAATTATATTTTAGTTAAAATATTTAACTTATGTGCCACTTTTGTGTTCCCTTGTTCTAATCGTCTGCATTTAGCTCTCGTCACATTTCAATTGTTAAAAGCAAGTTTTTCACTGCAGAGGGATATGCTTAATTTTAAATCATGTCACTGTTGTTGTAGTTCACTCCATAGTCATGATCTCGTCAGGATGGGATAGACAACTAAAAATAATAGGAGAATTCATTGATAGTCTCCATTTTAAAATGGTTGCTACAATGGTCCCTTAAGTTATGTTAGTATCGACTGTTGTAATTCAAATTATACAATTTGGTTATATAATTATAAAACTTATATGATTTAAAAGTTAAATAAATTTGTATAATTTATATTTTTTTTATTAAAAACAACATTTAATAATGAAATTTATCATTATAGTCTCCATTTTTTAATATAGGACTCGTTTGATTGTGCTTAAAATAATATTTTTTTTAACAGCAATAATAATATTTTTTAAAAAGTTTATTTTCACGGAAGAAAATCATCGTAAGGTTTGGATTCTTATTTCTTAGGGCAACTCCTCCGTCTGGATTCTTTGAGATTTCTGTCTCTTAGCACAGGGCTACTTTTCTCCGTCAACCGCATTCACACCATGAGCATCAACCATCAATTATAAAATATAAGACTTGCAACAAGTTCTGCCACTATACCAGACATACTTAATACATGAGTCAAACATATATACTGATTCAGGTTTTATAACAATGATCTATACCATGATTACTAAGAATCTCCATTCCTACTATGATATTTCCCTCTTGGATATGCAAATAAAATGGAAAGTAATTTAGATATACACATGATCGTGACCTATCATGAAGCCGAATAAATAACTTTTTAGAACTACCTTCGGCTAGAAAGGAGATGAAAATTCATTCATGTGTTGTTTAATTAGAAGTAAAACAAAGAGGGAAGAAAAATAGGAATTACAGAAATAAAAGGGAAACAATGTGAAAATAGATAGGTTGTTTAGATGAGTATAACTAATAAAAAAAGAAGTGGAGAAATCTCTTCGCTTATTGGGATGAGTGAAAATGCAGAACTGAGTTTGTGCAATAATCCTAAATTAAAAGCAGCCTAGTTGTTTGTGCTTAAAGGTGGAAATAGTAGCTGCTCTCTACAATCTGCTGTTACATTACAGCAGATATGCTTCCCAAAGTATCCTTGTTCTAAGTTCTCACTTCTCACCATTTGACATACAATAATCATACAGACATGCATGAGTATGAATCTAATTGAAAATAAAACAAAGAAACCTGCACTATAAAGTAGAATCATTTGTTCGTACAATTAATAAGATCAGTCATCTTAAAACATGTGCCTAACATGCAAATTCACCTGCAATAGTCATATAGACATGATTGAACAAGTACACAATTCAAGAAGAAGAAAAAAACCGACATTTTAGCAAGTAAAATCATTTGTTTACGTAGTTATGAAGTGTATCTATTTCAAGGCATCATATCAGTTGAAAGCTGACAGCAACTAAATGAAAATCATTAATCAGTTATCTCAAAATAGCAATGTAGGCAATTATATAATTACTTTAAACAAGTTTACTGTAATTTTCACAACTTTGTGTCAAAAGGGAATATTATGAATTTATGATACAAGAGGTGGTACAATCATTTATCTATTAATGGGAAATGAAATGATACAGGGAGAAGATATAAGATGATGCAGTTACATTACAGATAGGCATTCGACTAACTAACAGATTGTTGAGTCATCTTCTAACTGCCTAACTAGTTGATCACAGGAGGAAACAGCATAACATTTCTCTCTTAACACTTTTTCTAGAACTTTCTTTATTATTAACTGAAATTTATTGAAAATTACAATTTATGACATTACTAGAAAATTATTATTTAACATCGCCAATTTTACATCGGTTTAGGTAGAACCAATGTAAAAATTGGATGCGGTGACATATTCGTAAATATGAGTTGAATGAAAAGCAGATTTACATCGGTTATGTACAAAACCGATGTAATTATTGAGCATTTTACATCGTTTTTAATTGGATGTTGATTTAAATGCGCGGTGACAATTTTGTAAATATTTATAAGTAAATCTACATCGATTTTCAAAATAACCGATGTAGTATAGACCCAAATATCCTACCCCGCGTGGAATCCCTTTAGCTTCTTCACACATTCTCTGTCTCTGTGCTAGGGTTTCGTCCATCCTTCAAATTCCATCCCTTCCGCTGCGCCATTGCTGCTGCATCTTCACTTCATCTTCCGTTACACCCTCTTCCATTTAACACAAAACGTATTCATTCGAATAAGTACCAAACAAACAAACTCTTTTTCAACCTCATTGCGGATCTTAGATGCGCGCCCACACCGTAAGAAACCTGTGCACCCTTAGCACCCTTTTCCGCTTGAAAACCCGCAAACCCCGCGCCAACGTTGTACCCTTCACGGAACCTTCTCCGGAGTCCGAACTGCATCTCTCAGAAATTGGCATCGGTGACTCTTTCCAAGGTAACTTTGCCAAGTTTCAATTTTTACGCCTACCCGTGTTTTCGTTTACGTCTAACTTCACAGAGGAGCCTTGTTGTGATAATGGGTTTTTGGTTTTTTGGAGCTAAATGAGTTAGAAAAATATTGGGCTTTATGCTGCCAAATGCGTTGGTTTCGGTTGTTTTGTTTCCTTGGTGGTTGCTATGGTGTTTTGTTGGGTATTCGGGTGTGCAGTGATGTCATTTTCTCAACATTTTGGTGCAGGGAATTCGACTGATGAAGATGTGGATACTAGTCAGCTTAGTGCTATATTGTGCCGTAAGTGTTTGTTAAATTTACTGTGAGGAGAAATGCAAGCAAAACATTCTTTCTATCACACTTTTCTAAGACACTCATTATTATTAGCTGAAATTTGTTGGAAATAACTAAAAGGCTATTTGTTTTATCATTGAGTTGTGTTGAACAGAAAAGTCTTTTGTTGTTAATTATTCCAAACTTCTGAACATGGAAAAATATTGAATACCCGATATTTTGAACTTTTGTGCATTTTAACTTTGACTTGTTGGAGTTTGACTTCTTGTTAGATAACCCTTAGTTGCATAGGCACATTGTGACACAAGGTTATCAATAGTGTGCTATAGTGTAATGGAGCCTTGGACTCAAAAACAAACTTTATTTGATTGAAATAAATTCTCTTATAATATAAAAAAGAAATGTTGGCGAAGTATGCTAATTTTGACCCTTCAGTTTGTTATTAGGAACTCAGATGAGCTATGAGGTCAAAATTATTAAATAGCTTATAGCATTGCTCTAATTTACGCACCGGACTAGTGTTTTGACGTTTCTAGAAACAGTTGATATGAACATGAGTATGTGTTTTCTTCATAGAATACTAGAGTAAATATGGTTTAATGATGCACCATCGTTTATTTCAACAGGAAAAAAAAAGTACTCTACCATATATTTGTTACATGTATAAAGAATGTGAATAAATTTGGGTTAATCCTAACCTAATAAAAGAAATTCGCAAAGTGGCATAAAAGTTGGAATTGTATAACTTTTTTGATACCACCGCCAAAACAGCCAGAGAATAAGAATTTAGGAAAATAATAATAATAATAATAATAGTCACTATTTAAAATCTAAAGAATAGCGGATGACAGCGTACGTACACGTTTATCAAGAACTGGTTCAAGTTCAATTGATCTTTGTGGCTGAAATGCAGATCTAATAATTATTTTCTTTGTTGCATATAGATTTACATCAGTTATTTTACATCGGTTATAAGAAGAACTGATGTAAATTTATGACTATTTTACATCGATTTTAAAATTGATGTAAAATTGTATATATTTACTACGTCACTCTCTTCTACATCGATTCTAAAACCGATGTAGATGATGTTAAAGAACCGATGTAGATAGCGTGTCTTGTAGTAGTGTGAATCTTGCATCTTATTTATCTCTCATGATGAAGAATTTTATTACAATGCATTGTGAATATAAGGAACTTTAATGTTGCTATCCAAACATACATTATCATCTAATTGGTTGACATTTCATGTATGAAAATTAAACTCAAAAACAAAACAACCATATTGTAGAACTGCAACATAATAGAGCAAACAAGCATAGAGGAAGGACAAACGACATTTCACCACGAGATTTGTCGATGGTCAATGTAGATTCCAGTGATTATGAATTGCTATGCACAAAATTCATAGGTTGTTTCTAGGGATGACAAATAAACCCGTACTCGTGGATAATACCCGAACCCGTCCCGACTTTGACAAGGTATACCCGGTTTTACCGGGTACGGGTACGGATAAAACCCGATAAATTAAAACGGGTATGGGTACGGGTATGGGTATATACATACCTGTCCCGTACTCGTACTTTAATATTTTATTATGTGTAATTATTTATTATAATATGAAATATTTATAGTTGTGTAATTATTAAGAAATCTCTTGATTAAAATATGAGATAAATAAATAATCTAATTATAATTATAATATAATAGAAAAATAATTTAAAAATATTATATATTTTTTTTGCAAAAAAAAATAATTTTTTACGGGTACGGGTACGGGTATACCCGATACCCGACGGAGACGGGGATGGAGATGAAAATCACATATCCGACAGGTACGGGTATGGGTATGGGGATGAGTTTGTGTCGTAGGGATGGGGACAGATATCATAAAACCCGTACTCG